TGTTGATGACTTTACGTGATATAAATTCAAATATCAAAGGGAAGATGAGTCCCCCTTAAGTCACAAATGTATCTGACAGTTAAAAACAGAGAAGTACAATCTTTACCTCAAACATTATTATTATTCCCTTGAGTTCCAGGTGGAACATAGGGTTTCAACGACACATCTCCACTTTCTTCTATTCTCTGCTATCCGCTTTAGCTGGGTCCACAATTGCCCATAGTGTCTCATCTCCTCCCTTCATGGTCTCCCTCATGCCACCTTTGGACAACCCGCTGGTTGTTTCTCAGTGGGATTCCACTCGGTCAGTGGCCTGGCGCTCGATGTTGCTTGACGGTCTCCACAACGTATTCCCGATCATCTCCATTTTCTCATACATATTTGTTAAGTGATCGGCTGTTGTTGGATTTTTTCCCACAGTTTCTTGTCACTTACTCTTTCTAGCCATCTGATCTTCAATATAGAGCCAGCGAAGGTGGCAGCGGTTGATGAAAGTTTGTAACTTGTTGGAAATCCTTTTCGTTACACGTATTGCAAGTTCCTGATCCGTATAGAAGGACAGACTTGAAAATCTGAATCTTGTTCTTTATGTTGAGTGCAGAAGATTTCCAAATTGGTTTCAGGTTGATGAAGGTGTATCTTGCCTTTCCGATTCTGGCTGGTTGGTTTTCATATCTTCATCCGTGTGGCCGCCTGTGGTTGAAACTGTGCTTCCTAGATAAGTGAAGGAAGCAACCACTGTCAAATCCCTCCCGTTGATGGTAACTGGTGCTGGTTGTTGATGCTGCCGTTGGTTGGTTATCTTCATCACCTCCATCTTCTCTATGTTCACCTGGAATCCTGTCTTCGCTACCTGCTTCTCCAGCCAGTTTGTCAGTTTCCGCCTGTAAGTCTTCGAGTTTGTGTGACATTAGACACATATAATCTGCGAAATCCAGATCTTCTAGAGTCTTCTTATCGGTGATCCAGCGTACTCCTGTCTCCTCGCTCCCAACGCACAGTCTGACGCATAATTCAGTCCACCACCACAATTAAGAATATCATTGGTGATAATAGACAGCCCTACCTTATTTCTGCGTTCACTTCGAATGCCTCGTTGAGGTTCCCATTGTGAATCACCTGAAACCTCAAACATAACTTCCAAAAAGATGCACTAATAAAATCTGTTTTCCCTGTGAAAATAGATTTTTCATTCTATTTCAATCAGACATATAAACCATACCACTAGAAGTCATTATTCAGTTCGCTACAATATATATTGTAAATTTCTAATTCCTCAGTCAACACGAATATTTAACACGGAAATTCTTTTACCGAAGTGAATAAACAAATTGCATAAGATAATTATTTATTTGTAAAAACAATCACGAATACTGTTTCCTCCATGTCCTTCAACCATTTTTTTCCATAGTCACTCTCTCTCTTTCACTCCGTCTGTCAATCACTTCGCATTCGAGAAGATATTAAGATTAACAAAACAGTACACAATATCAAATATTTGCGTTTTATGATTTTTTTTTCAGAAATCAATAAATATTTGTTAAATATTCATGACAGCTAATGATTGTGTAGAACATCGAAATTTAAAATGCTTATTATTATTATTATTATCCTTATTGTTATTATGATAGCTACTGTGATGTGTGCTACTGAAAAGATTTATCAGTAGTACATATACAAAGAGATGTTCATCGGCATAGAAACACCAAATAACACGGACATAGATTTGATGTCAGCGAAAGCAAATGATTCAGCCTTGCGGTAAAACATGGGAGACGTGAAAGGAACACAAAGAAACACAAACTGAAGACGAGAATTAGCCCAACAAGGAAGATCCGTACAAATGGTGATTTGAAGATAAGGTGTACATAATTTGGCTGTATAGAGATACTGAATTGCCGTTAAACTAGTTCTTTGCCAATTATCTCAGAGCTTTATGAGATGCAAAGGGAATTTTGTGAAGGTGAAGCAGATATACACTTGTAAACTGTTGGACAGTGAAAGCTGTTCAGTCAATTGTCAAAAAGCATTGCAACTCCGAACCTTTGGGACACTGACAGTTAATCAATATGAATATGAGTATTTCAAGTTATCACTTATCTAAGAAACTGTGTTCTTCAGAACTACTGCATTCCAGTATTGTAATAATATATTGAATTATATCATTGATGGGTACCAGTGGCCCGATGGCCTACGAGTTCACCTTGAAATCCGAACTTCCTGAGTTTAAACTCCGGTTGGTGCATACACCTGACGAGTTCCTAACAAAGATGAAACAGATCTGCAGTACTGTCTGATTAAAGGTGTGTCGGTGGTTCACTGGGGGAATTCTCGACAACTATGCGTGTGAACGGGGGTTTAGATCCCATCCAAACCTCGCTTAATCAGTTGTAAGCCCGGTAAAGAGGGAAAGTTGGAAATTAGGTTAACATCCCCATCTCGTAATGAAAAAAGGACAACACCACAGCCACTGGAACTTCAAAGCTCAAGGTTGAAGCTCTGTGTTTCCCTCTGAACGCAAAGAAATAAAAAATAATCAGTAATAAGAGTTGAAGTTATATAAGACTTGGAGCATTCGACAACTACTGGAACACAGGGGATATTGGAGGTTTTTACTGATATCACACAATTTTCTAACCCCTGTTTTCCTTTGTCTGCAAACCTTACTTACATTAACTTGTCTTTGGGTAGTACGGCAAGGTTATTTTAAAACAGAATATGATGGATCATTTTCGTAGTCTCAACACATAAATGATTATAAATAATTGTAGATAATTCCTTAATAAGTTGTGTTTGAATTTTCAGGTATTCTGTGACTAAACTTATCTATAACCTTGAGAAGATGCATACCTCAACTGGAATCGCAGCTCATGTAGTTGAGTAATGCGGTCAAAAATGTTGAGATGGAAGCTTTTGCCAATCAGTAGATGACCTTAAAGACTACGTTGACATCAACTATTGAAACAGATAGTCAGATATCACTGTTTCGTCTTATACTCTAAAGAGGCATCCTGAAGCCGCATTCAGTGGCTATTTACACAATTTATGAGCTGGTTCTCAAGTTGTTTTTTTAATTGTGAGTGGAAATCCATATTGACTTGTAACAGAACGAAGTTCGAGTAAAACTTTTTTTCCTTTACATTCCCTAGTGGAACATAGGGCTTCAAGCTTGTGGCTTGAAATTTCTGTAGCAGTGTTCATTTTACAGGATGGGGTTGCCAGCCTCATGCCCAACCTTTCCACTTCACCAGCATTATTTCTGGCTTAGCTAGGTAAAGGAGTACGTCGGTCGGGGATCGAACCCCGGACCATGTGCATGGTCTTAACAGGTCGATGCGAAAATATGAGTTAAGAGGTGGATGGCGAATGTTTTCTTTATTCATTTTAGGGAAAATATTCATTCAAACATTTAGAAGACAGAAGAAATTTATTCAGAGAATATTCTTTCAGATAATTTCCTCTTCCGGATCTACAATTATATATATCTTTATATACACAGAATATTCTAGAATAATCGTCTTCTACAATATTGGTGTTTTTTAAATACTATCGATTTGTTCAAATCAATGAAATGACATTTGAAGAAAGTTGCATAAGTTATAATAAGCGTTAAAATGCAATAGTAAATAGAATATAAAATAAAATTAAGGAAATCTCAACAAGAAATTAAGGATCATTAAAACCTTGATAGCCAGCAGGGTAAGGAAAGCGTCTGAACCAATTTCTTTTGGATACATAGATTAGGCTTCTTAATGTGGATCCCAACGGCCTCAGCATTTTGTAATAGACGAACTCTTGAGGTGAAATTAAGCTTAGTTGGTATGTGGTAGATGACTTTGAAGGCCTCGTTTACATCAGTTTTGTGTTCTGTATCTACGAGATGAGACAATATAGAACTATGAATGGACTTTGTTTGTCCCTTACTTAACCATCCAAGATGGTGTTCGGAAATCTGACGATAAACACGCGTAATTGTGCAGTCTATACTGAAAGGATAAAAGATTTAAACGTGGACAATAAATTCATGATATCACTTGATGAACCTTCCTTATTCACCAATTAACTGCTTATGGAAATAGTAAACTTTGTCTGTGAAGATATTATAAGAGGAAACATCGATGTCGGTATTCCTATGTCTTTTATAAAAGAGCTTCTTTTGAAAAGCACAATGAATGTTCACTTTTTATTGAATAAGGAACTATACAGAAAAATTGATGGTATGGCAGTGGGATCACCACTAAAACCAGTTGTAGCTGACATTTTCCCTGCAAAACTAGAGAATGGGCCTTTGAAAGATGTGGCTAATGAACTAGAATTCTACTGTCGTTATATGGATGATACAATTTTGATTATGAAAAATGAGAATGAAGCAAAGAACATCCTCGACAAATTTAACTAGGTTCATCCTGCAATAAATTCTAAAAACAACAATACTGTCAATGACGATTATTCAAGAATATTCTGTCTATAAATAAATATATAATTGTGACCAGTAGGGTGCAGCAGGTCGGGTGTCAGGACAAATACTCGCCAAAGACATTGGCTAGGGGTCGCGCTATGTCGTGAATTGGCAGAAGTTAGAATTCATGGGCCATTGGATTGGGTCCCAGTGGCTTAATGGTATACGAGCTCGCCTTGTAACCAGAAGGTCCTGGGTTCGAACGGTAGTGGTGGGTGCGTACTGATGAAGAGTCCCGAACTAGGACGAAACAGCTGTCCAGTACTCCCAGGTTTTCCAATGGTTCTCTAACTAATGTCAGCTCATGATGAAAATCCTGTAACCAATCAAATCCCTACAAACCAACACTTGAATATAATTGTAAAGCTGGAAGAGTAAATTATCGAAAAGAACATTCTGTACTCAAATTTTCTTTATTCTTTTTGATGATGACAATGGTGACAAATGAAAGTTAGACGCGGGCAATTCAGTACACATAATAACTTTAAACAAAATAAATTATATTTTAAATTCGTCTTCAAATTACTTTTTTTTCTTTCAGATATGAACTTAAAGAAGGCATGAAATGTCCAAATAATAGTGGTGAACGATGTCTTCTACGTATGGATGATCTATTCATTGAACTGGATCAGGATACAAGTGTACCACAGATACTGGCACGTATAGACACAAAAGGTTTGCCAACAGGTGTGGTACGCATTGACTTGAGTAAACATTATGCCTATCAAGCGTATAGCGGGAAACAAATTCCTGTTTCAACAGCATTTCGTGTAAGTCTCATTTGTTGGATGCTTTTCTTAAACAAAAATTTAAATACTTTTCCACTAGTAGTGTAACGGTAAGGGAATGTCTATTTGGAATTTTCTCCAAATGCATCATTTGCTGAACAGATCTTCCGTGTTTTGTTACTTCTGCCCTTCTCTCGTATTGTGTTTCCTTGTCTTCTTTTCGTGTCTCCCATGTTTTGTCGCAATGCACTGGTTCATTTGCTGTTGTTGACGGCAAATCTATCTATCCGCTATTTGATGTTTTTCTCCCTATGAACGTCTGTTTAAATATCATTTTTATTATTATTGTTCCCTTGGGTCCCTAGTGGAACATAGGGCTTCAACTGCACGCCTCCACTTGTTTTTTGTCCTCTGTTGTACTTTTCACTTGCATCCATGTTAGTCCATACTGTCTCATCTCCTCTTCACACCATCTCCTCCATGTCACCCTTGCACCGACGAACCACTCGCCGCTTCCCTTTCACGTTCCACTTGAGCAATGGCCTGACGCGCGATGTCACCCAACGGCCTCCTTAGCGAGTGTCCTATCCGTCTCCACTTTCTCCTGCATATTTGTTGGGCGACCGGTTCTTGTTTTGTTTGTTCCCATAGTTTCTTGTTGGTGATTCTTTCCGGCCATCTGATCTTCAGCATACAGCTAAGACAGTTGTTGATCAAGGTCTGCAACAGACTGTTGGAAATATTCTTTGTGACCCACTGGCCACGTTTCTGATCTGATCCGTATAGAAGAACTGACTGACTTGACGTTTGTATTGAAAATCCGAATTTTGTTGTTGATGCTGAGTGACAGCGGAAGATTTCCAGATTGGTTTCAGGTTGATGAATGTGTTTCTCGCCTTCCTGATTCTCGATTTGACATCCTTGTGTGTTCCTCCTGTAGTTGAGACAATGCTCCCTAGATAAGTGAATGAAGTAACCTCTTTCATATCCCTCCTGTTGATGTTGATTGGCGCTGGATGTTGCTGTTGTTGTTGATGATGTTGGTTGGTTATTTTCATAACCTCCGTCTTGTCTATGTTCACCTGGAGTCCTGTCTTTGCTGCCAGCCTCTTCGACCAGTTTGTCGGTTTTCGCTTGTAAGTCTTCGATTTTGTGTGACATCAAACATAAATCATCCACGCACGAAATCCAGGTCTTTTAGGTTCTTCACGTCGGTCCAGGATATCCCTGTCTTCTCGTTTCGCACTATCTGACGCATAACCCTTTTTATATACTACTGATAAATCCTATCAGTAGCACAAGCCACAGTAGGACACAAATATATTTTTAATAGGCTAAGGCAACCATTATGGAAACCAAAATCCACTGTATATTTAATTCTTCAATATGTCAAATTTCTAAATTCATTACTGTGAGTATGTAAACAGATAGGTGCCATTATTGTGACAGCTCTTTCCTTTCTGGTCACGTGAGTGAAATAGAAACGTATATGGCTGACAGTAATGGAGATGCTATTGTATTATATTTACGATAAATGTGTCCAAATACTAGTTCACTCATATATGTATGTCCTTTAAACAATTGGGCTAGTTTGTGACAGGCAACCAACTGGTGTAGTAGCCGAGATGATTTTTATATTCAACTGTGAGACCCTTAAATAGGCTATAATTTGGAAAAAAAATGTCATCAGCATAGGGAATGCGGTGTTAGGCCAATCAAATAAATTAGAATTAATCTGTCCAAATATTAGCTGTCTCATAATCCTATGTTTGAGTAGGTCAGTTGCATGCCTAATATCATCAGTTTGAAACACAACACATAATCTCATAATGGCTTACTCACTTCAAATCAACAATTATTTTGAAATTTAATTTGTGGATGGTGACTAGCAGTGGAATGCAGGATGTGCATTTCGTCCTATTTGGAACTCGTCAACTGGATGTATCTGCATTTAATTGAATTAAATTAATATGACCCGTTGCACAAGAGGTGGCTCTCGTGGCCCAACTGGTCTAGTGGATAACTAAGCGTACTGGGTTCGTGACTCGGTGGGAACATCATCACTCACTGGGAAGTGCAGGTACATCCAGTGACGAGTCCCAAATAGGACGAAATGCGCGTTATCCTGGATTCCACTGCTAGTCACCATCCACCAATTAAATTCTGATTAAATGCCCAGACATCGTCGAAGCATCTGCACAAGAAGCTGACATGTCAACCTGAGACCAAGCACTTCGGTCCAATCAATCGACGGGAAAAAATCTCAAATTCAATTAAATTATTTTGAAAGATATGCAGATGATATACAATTAACTTAAAATCATTCCCTTTCAGCCACTGACACAATGATCACCTAAGAGTTGGCGCATCTGTCTCCTTTTAATTTAGAATTCTTTTGAGAAACTGTTACACACAGTCAAATAATAAAAGTTCAAAGCTGGCTAGATTTAGTCTGTTACTCCGTAGAAAGAAAATAAACGGGGAATTAAGATAGTTGTCTCAGAATTTATTTCATTACCTTCTCTCATCCAGCTGCTGAAAAAATATGCCTAACACTTATGCGATACCTGATCAATTGTGGATTTGATAATGTTGCTAGTATTACAGTGTTAAAACTAATAAGTTACCTGATAACTCTAGCAAATGTAGTTGTCTAACTGGCTTTTGAAAATAAATAAGATATTTTAAACGATTAGTTCCCTTTATGAATTTAGGCAAAGGAATAAGACGACGTAATTTGTCTGAATCGTGTGGTGTAGAACAATTTCAGTTTTCCGATTTTAAATCCAATGAATGAAGTTCAGAATAGCATATCACTTACTTCTGTAGAAGAGGCAGATAACTATTTATCATTTCTAGATATTTTGCTTAGTCGACAGCCTGATGGATCAATACAACGATCTATTCATAGAAAAGCTAACTGGACAGGACAGTACCTTAATTATCACAGTTTCTGCCCTGTTCGGTACAAAAGAGCCTTAGTGAGATGCCTCTTCAGTAGAATCCAGCGTATATGCACTGATGATACACTTGATCAGGAAGAAAAAAAACTGACACAAACTCTGGTTGACAATAATTGTCTAGTCAAGTTCATGAGATAATGTAAAGTGGTCAGAACACCAAGGCCCAATCTCTAACTTGCCACTAAGAAAGACGTACATATCAAGCTACCCTATGTGGGTGATCATAGAAGCTTGGTAACTAGACAAAGATTGAACGCTGCTATTAAAAAAACTTTTTATGCAGCTAATATCATAATAATTGAGAATATGAAGCCAATATATCTATCTAAGCCCTTTAAACATGCGAAAAGTGATGTCACATCCCACTGTTTTAACAATTTGAATGTACGTGTGGACACACATGCATAGGGAGGACTCATGGATCTCTGAAATTAAGGGCTTCAGGAGCAAACTGAATCCCCAGAACCCGTTGATGGTGAGAACAGGAGACCTAGCTTCTCTATTGCGAAACATATCATAGAGACAGGACATAAAACTGATGTTTACACGTCTTTTAAACCTATCTATAAAACGTGTTTGGGATGTATCCTAAAGTTTGTGGAAGCCTTAGCAGTTAGGAAGATTAAACCACCTTTATGCGTTCAAAAACAATTCGTCATCACACTAAACCTTTCTTGGTAAACTTTGTTTTGATACCATAGCAGATGTACTATTACCTCTCTTCTTCGGTTTAGTGATGTTCATTGTAATTTTGACCTTCAATATGTCCTTTCAACTTGACCTAAGTCTATTTTCTCACCTCTTAACTGTTTACTAATTTCGTGTGATCAGATGGTTCGAAATGTGTTGCTCAAATACACTACACGATTCAGACAAATTACGTCTTCTTGCTGCTTTGTATAAATGAGATAATTCGGTTTCAGTTCAATTTCATCAATACCTAGCTAAAAGATGGTTATTTTTTTTATTTTTTGACATGCAGATGCTACGTGTTTGAGTAATATAATCAAACTGAATGCATTCGATGCATTTTTATTCTGTTAAACTAACAAGGCAACAAATAGCCTTGGTACTCGACATTAAACTCAAAAATCTAAAAAAAATCTACTAAATGTCCGAATACTTATTATTATTTTTTCAGTTAATTGCTTTACGTTCCTAGTGGAACGTGGGGCTTCAAGCTAGAGCCTTGAAGTTTCAGTAGCAGTGATGTTTATTCTTACGGGATGGGGTTGTTAGCCTCATGCTCAACCTTCCATCTTTCCCAGTCTTATTGCCGGTTTAGAGAGGTAAAGGAGTGCGTTGGTTGGGGGTTGAACCCTGAACTACCTGCGTGGTTGGTAAGCATTCTACCGCTGTGCCACAGACGCACGTTTGAATACAACACTGTCTAAATTATGATTTCACAGTTGTTAGGTAATGGTGGTGTGATTATCGTTCAGAAATGTCTTTGGAAGCCAACATTGACAAATCTACCCTCAGTCTCAGCATACATCTATGGAATTTAAAACTCTCAAACAACTTGGTTTTATTTTTGATTGCACATTAGTCAGTAACTAGTGTAATGTGTCTAGTTCTATCTTCGCTACAGACTGAATTCTATCAGTCAAGCTTGAAATGTGGCAATGCTAGGTGGCTCGCCATTATCTTGCACTGTGAATTGTTGGTATTAGATGGTTGGAGGTAATCGGAAGGAAGTCTTGGAACTAGGTTTCGTGCTAGTTGGCACTCATCATCATATCCAATACAGTCCTACAGGAGGTCAATTGCGAGCCTAAATAGCTCAGTGGTAACGTCTCTGACTGAAGGCGGCACTGGGTGACGCGGGTTCGAATCTCCTCAGAAGGGACATGAGTTCCTTCAAGGTTGCAGATATGCCTGCCTTGCTGACTAGTGAGTGCCAACTAGCACGAAACCTAGGTCCAAGGCTTCCTGCCGATTGCCTCCAACCATCTTATACCAACTTGGTTTTATGTTTTTGGAGATGAGTTTGACAGGTTAATCCATTTCGCATATAAGAAACCTGTAATATCTGTTATTCAGATTAAAATGATTGATACGAAACAATCTTGACCAGGG